TTCCTGCTGCAGTTTCGTCTGCCATTCTGGGTTGGTAGCGAGGCAGTAGGACCACATGGCCAGCAGCGTGGCCGTCGTCTCGTAACCGGCCAGGAAGAAGATCAGGGATTGTGCGAGGATCTGCTTGTCCGTCAAACCTAGATTGTTGGTTAGTTAGATGACGGTATCATGCAGTCAGTTGCCGTTTTAAAACGTGAAACTTCATTTGCGAACCGCGTTAATATAGCAGCGAACGGATATCTTAAGACGGGGGATCTGGGAACCGGTAAATACTCCAGGGTATCCCATATTGGCGCGTGGGTGCATGTGTCTGCGTGCGTGTATGTACGTGTGTGTGTGTGGAGGGGTCCATTCACATGCAGTTTACCAGGTAAAAATATGCCATTTCCCATTTCCCGGTTACTTAAAACCCAATTTCGGCTTTCCCGTGTCCGGCTGACTTCTATTCCAGAAGAAAACGAAATATTTATCTCGTATATCTCGGGTCTAATCCCACATCCCGAAAATACACGCCTCCGTCCTCATAAAAGTATAAGCCCGTTGCCGCGTTACACCGTAATTCACGGAAACTTTTAGTGTTGTCAACCTTTTTCTATTTTTTTTTCGTTTGATAAAGTAATGTTATATAGGCTGAGTTGCTATTATTTTGTAATGATGACACATGCGGGCCGCTTTTCAATGGTCTACACGTCACAGTATATTTATAACCACCAACCTTTGTGAACTTCGCCAGATTTGTCATGCATTTCCTTGTGAGCGTCCATCATCAACTGGAGAAAGTCTGGTCGTACCTAGAAATGTATACGTCATATGTAAAGTGTGCACACACGCGCGCACACAAAGCATACACACACACACGCACGCACGCACGCACGCACGCACACGAACACACGCACACACATCTCCTCTATACATAAAAATATCCTAATCTGCTCCTATTGGTCCATCGGTAGCTTAAGAAAAATTCCCCGATCGTGAAACGTTGTTGAAATTAAGCTTTTTGGCAACTTGCTTCAAGCACGCTGACAAGAGATTATATAGTATTGTAGAATGGGAGCCACTGTTGCAGAACACGAATCTCACAACGGTGGTCGTACCTCTTTAGAAGTTCGTCTAAGCTCCAGAGTCTTCGTAGTGAGGTTGACAAAGAAGTCTTGATCTTCTTTTTTAAGGAATTGTATTTTTAACAGCTTTAGAAGTGGAGTAAGTATCGGGAAAAAAACTGCAGAGAAAGACACAATGTTATGAATATTTGAAAAAGGTTAAACAATTACTGTAAATCTGTTATTAGTGTGTGCATGACGCCATTATACATATAGACCACAAGAACATCGTGTTGTGATATAGATGGCGGGGTAAAAGTAAAGGCAAAGATAATGTAAAAGGCGAGCCCTTCTTATCAATTGTTTGTGGATTTAATTATAAACAACTTGAATGGGTGGATTTGGTAGCAGAAAAGGGTGTCATGATTATGCGATCTCAACTTGTACGGGTCCAATTGGCAATATTATAATGCAACCGTTAAAATCGCAACAAAAGGAGTCATTTCGGTTCACTCGAAGCTTATAGTTTATGTTGAATTATCCTATTTATTGTATTGTGTTAGTTCTGCAAATGCTGCTATTCAATGGCCGTCGCGACATGTTTGCGGGCGGCTGAATTCGCTCACGCTTAGACGTACGGGATTGGAAAACGTCCGACGACAAGGCACAGCACCATGACCAGCCTTCGACATTGAAGCCTGGTGTATACATACGCACACACGCACGCACGCACGCACGCACGCACGCACGCACGCACGGCAACGCCATCACACCACAGCGAGGCACACACACATACACACACACACACACCCCACACAGCACACACACCAAACATATATATAGATATATATATTAGTAGTATATAGTATTTAATATAGGTGAATCTATATATATACATACATACATCATGACATACATCCCCATACATACATACATACATAATAAATCACACAACGGCTGACGCGCACACGCGGGCGCACACGCACACGCACGCACACTGCACGCAGCACGCACGACGCACGCAGCACAAGCTCACACAGGGGGTTAAAGTGGTTGGGGGCATACAACACACACACACAGCACACCACACAGCCAGTACACACACCCAATATAAATTATATACATACATAAACCACACAGCACAACATACACACACACGCACACACTCGCAGGCCAAATCCCACACATATCACCACACACCACCGCACACGCATAAATATATATATATATATATTAAATATAATAAATCATATGAAAAAAACAAGAAAAAAAACAAGAAAAAAAAAAAAACAAAAAAAAAAAAAAAAAAAAAAAAAAAAAAAAAAAAAATTATATATAGTATATATATCTAGTATACCTCACTAGTAACTCACACTATAACGCTGAGGGCTATGCTGTAAACGGATGAAGTCGAAGGCGTCTCTTGGCGTGCGTTTAACGGAAGGGCCGACTCTTTTGCCCGCTGCTGTGAGTCCGCCTGCCAGGCCAAACATCGTGGCTGCTGCTCACGTCCAGCGTGAAGCCGCCCCGAAATGCTGATATGAACATTGGAGGAAATGGAGGTATACAGACTCCTGCCGCCGCGAAAGAATGACCATTCTTCGCATGTGGAAGGTGAATGAGCAGACGAACATCGTCATTCGTATTACTTCGCTACGACAAACTGCTACTTCGGCGCAGTCATAGTGGCTTGAAGAAAATCACTGTCTAAAGCACCTATATTAACACATAATGTCAGTAGTGTCGTTACAGTTACAGTGTACGTGTGGTGCTATCTGCCAGGAAGGGAGACCGTCCTGTGTTGAATCCATGATCTCTCATCATCAAAACAATGCCTACACACTTCTGAAATGTAATACAACCAAATGGTAGAGCATTTTTAAACGTACATACGCCTTTCGTCTCAAATGGTTTCTTTCATCGGCCAGTTTTCCAAGGTTAGTACTTGCAAAATGTATTCCACATCGTTGAATAAGGTGAGTCAGTCTATTTGAGAACGAACGATCGATAACGAACGTATTACTAGAAAGCACGACAACGCGAATAAAAGGCGTCCTAGTTAACAGACAATCCTTAACTTGTAGACCGAGTGACCTAGACTTAGGTTTTCGAATCCTAACGGATGCTTCTTCTGGTTCGTACCGTAAAGCACATAATGCAATGTAAAATGAAGGCACGTTAGCTGTGGAATCCATAATGCCAGGTAGTTATGAAGACACCCCGCCCAGCATTATATTAAACTATTTAATATATTTTAACATTTTTTATATAAATGTGCTTATTTTTTTATTTTTTCACTTCTTCTAACATCTTACTTACTCGCATAAAATTATATAGCATGCAAGGGAGAGAAGAGTATAGCATGTAATAATATATGCGGCGCAATAGCTTTCTCTGCCTTGGTAACTGCCGTGGCGAATATCGGCACCTGTTTTAGCCTTGCCGGTCGTGGAATGTTGTGTGAGATGCCCTTCTCATTAATCCTTCCACTATCTCGTTTGTCAGCGTTTTTCGCTAAACCTTCCGATTAAGAAACGTCGTCGCTACTCAGCGTGTCCCCGAACCCCTACAATAATAAAGTACTAAATACCAGATCAAACATATGAACGAAAAATTCATACTAAAACTCTCAGTGACTTCATAATATTTATTTAAAACAATTACAATAGCACACGGATTCGATCGTATATAGTCAGGTTCGTGCTTTGTTGGGCGTTGTGTGAGTGGTTGCAAACAAAGTGATATAGCGCTATATAGTGGTGTAACGCACACCCGATTAACACCTGTGAAATGTCTTAGAAATTCCCTGTTATACTGTCGTGTGTGTGTGTAGTGTGTGATGTGTGTGTGTTGTGTGTGTGTGTTGTGTGTGTGTGGTGTATGTGTGTGTGTGTGTGTGTGTGTGTGTGTGTGTGTGTGTGTTGTGTGTGTTGTGCATGTGTGTGTGGTGTGTGTTGTGTGTGTGTGTGTGTGTGTGTGTGTGTGTGCATGTGTGTGTGTGGTGTTGTGTGTGTGTGTGTGTGTTGTGCATGTGTGGTGTGTGTGTCGTGTGTGTGTGTGTGTGCATGTGTGTGTTGTGTGTGTGTGTGTGTGTGTGCATGTGTGTGTGTGTGTGTGGTGTGGTGTGTGTGTGTGTGTGTGCATGTGTGTGTGTGTGTGTGTGTGTGTTGTGTGTCGTGCGTGCGTGTGTGTGTGCGTGTGTGTCGTGTGCGCGCGCGCCGCGCGCGTGTGTGTGTGTGTGTGTGTGTGTGTGGTGCTGTTGTGTGGTGGTGTTTGTGTGGTGTGTGTGTGTGGTGTGTGTGTGTGGGTGTGTGGTGTGTGGTGTGTGTGTGTGTTGGTGTGTGTGTGTGTGTGTGTGTGCATGTGCATAGTGCAGTGTGTGTGTGTGTGTGTGTGTGGTGTGTGTGTGGTGTGTGTGTGCATGCATGTGCATGTGTGTGTGTGTGTGTGTGTGTGTGTGTGTGTGTGGTGTGATGCCATAGTGTGTGATGTGTGTGTGGTGTGTGTGGACGTGCGTGTGTGTGGTGTGGTGGTGTGTTGTGTGTGTTGGCGTCCTGGTTGTGTGTGTGGTGCAGTAGTGTGTGTGTGCGTGTGTGCGGTGTGTGGCCGCGTGTGTGTGTGNGGGATGATATATGCACTCCTAGTTAAAATTTGAAAATAAACTAAATAACACAATGCAATATATCAATAGCTATAGACTGTACATCAACGATCGAGGCATTGCATGCCTCTGATGAGAATAAAATACACTGTTTCTAAAATTACGGACTTACCCGGTTAACTTCCCATATTTGTTTATCCATGCCATATCTGTGATGTGGAAACCCTAGGATAGCAAAATATAAGGATTGTAGATCGAGTAACAAACGACTTAAGCAGTTAAATTCGCCATTGCCGTTGTTACGGGATTTGCATAATAACCTGCCAGGCAGGAGCAATGTGAGCACTACACATATGCGCCCAAAGCTCAAAACAGATTCAAGGTCAAGTTCAAGATTAGAACAATATAATAATTATTATCAGGGGTTAATAATGACAATTTGTTATTATTAACCCCTGATAATATCGTACGCGCGTTCTACCATGTGTCGCCACTGTAACCGTTCTCGTATATATCGCATGCAGCGGCGCCACTTACTTCTATATATATATATTAATTTATACTGAGTTACTAATTAGTTAGTGTATAGAGATCAGTGATCGGCGCACGTAATGACCACATTATATATAAGACTGTATACAAGAACACGAGAGCGCAGCTAGAAAATTAGAAAGCGAGTGCGAACGTGTGTTTTCTAGGTAATATTGTCATTATTAACATCAATAATTATATCATTGTTATTACTATTATTATTATTGTTGTTGTTGTTGTTGTAATTATTATTGTAATTATTATTAATATCATCATCATCATCATCATCATCATCATC